GTTCCTGCCAATATCCAGCAACTTCGCAAAGCCATTGAAGAGGAGTGGACTAACATTCCACAGGCCACAATCAACAACCTGATCAACTCTATACGAAGGAGATGTGTTGCACTGCGTGAGGCAAATGGTGGTCACACCAGATACTGACTGGTTTGTGCTTCATTGCTGGGTAATTATTCTAATTACATGTCATGCTTTCTTGGAAATTAAGGAAACTTTTGTGTCAACCTCGGCATGTGACATAAATGCACTGCTACAGAAATGGCAAAGAACAAAGAAAAGCATTCTGTTTTCTGTGAAATAAAGTGAAATGTGGAAAAGGGAGAAAGGGAAACACACAAGAGGAACACAATTCTGTTTAACTAACATCGAAAATACCTTTCTGAGAAATGTCACGGTTCTTCGTAACAGTATTTGCTTTCCTTGTATTTGCCCATGAATAACATGTTTATGACGTAAAAGGCTTCATGTTTCCACTGTTTTCATATCAGCTGAAACGTCTCAGGTTACGTATGTAACCCTAGTTCCTCGAGGGAACGAGACGCTGCGTCGGAAAACGCTAGGGGAACGCCCTTCAGCATGACGGGCTCTGAAACTCATGTGTAATCAGACCAATAGATGGGCGAGACGTCACGTGACGTAATGACCAGGAAGCTATAAAAGCACGTGTGGTGAGACCAACGCCAGCTCCAGGAATGAAGCAAGCGCTGGCAGGGACGCCGGAAGTATGGCACCAAGATGCAGTGTCTCGTTCCCTCGAGGAAATAGGGTTACATACGTAACCTGAGACGTTCCTCTTCAGGAACTCGAGCTGCGTCGGAAAACGCTAGGGGAATGAGAATGCCCACGCCGCCAGACTCCGAAGTCTCTGCCCAGTGTGGAAGATTGCACCGCTAGGGCGAGAGGACAGAAGAGCCGGGAGTGGCTCACAAGTCTAGATCATAGAACCTAACAAAGGTGAAGGGCGTGGACCAACCCGCCGCGTTGCAGATATCCTGCATAGAAACACCCGCTAAAAAGGCCTTAGAGGCTGCCACGCTACGTGTTGAGTGAGCCTTGACCCCTAACGGCGAGGGAAGATCA